CCTGTTCACGTTAAATGTGATGTCAAGGATGTCGCTGACATCAAGTATACTGTATTTGTACAGAATACTAGGTCGGTCTTTCAGAAGCTTTCTGAATTTACTCTTCAGGAGTCTGTCATTATAACATCTTGAAAGAAGTGTCCTATAAAGGGTGTTGGTAGAACACAGAAAAGAATCAAGGTCAGAGATAATGGAAGAGTAACGAAGGACCTGACCGTAAAAAACATTATAACCAACAGAAGAGGAAATATTACTGTTAGGAAAGGTGCACATGACCACAGGAAAGTTGAAGTCATCAAGTTTGTTGTAAAGCTTGGTGGCGACGTGTCCGGAGTTATTCATCGAGATGTTGATGTCGAGATAGTTTACGGACTTATTGTCGTCACCACTCCTCTCCATAAGCAGGTCAGGTGGATAAATGGACCTGATTAGGTTAGAGAAATGCAAATAGTTCATGGTGTTGAGGTCGTCGACATATCTGCAGTTTCTTGAGAGGAGCTTAGCGAGACCGAACTTCTTTTCTTTGATTAGGCGTGTCATGTAGTTGAATTCACACTTCCCTAGCGAAAGATCAGCGAACTGGCTACTAGAATTCCCTCCCATGGGAATGCCTTTCGTTTGTCTTAAAATCTGATCCCCAAAACAAACAAAAGTGTTAAACAGAATAAATGTAATAGCTGTTTTGAGTTTATCAGCAGAAAAACATAAGTATCCGTTATATTCCTTTTTAGAGAAAAAATTGTTGTTCTTATACAGAGAAACACAAATAAATTTATTCGTATTACTAAAGAGGAGATCAATTAGCTCGAAAAGCAGTGACTGTACAACCTGAAGGTCTAGATTGGTATACAGAGTGGTAAAGTCGTATACCTGCATATTAAAAATCTCTAGTCTAGGCAGCCTTTCCAGGAACTGTTTAGAGCTGTTAATGCTCCAGTCGCAGTTAATTCCAGTATTGTTGTAGATAGAGTTGCAGTATTTTGAAAAGTATTCTTTTAAAACTTTTAAAGCTTTGTTGACTACAACTGATATCTGCTTAGTGGTACATTTACTGGCCCCAGCTATAAATCTAGACTTATAAGGATTCTTGTGAAGTTTAGGAATCCAAAAGATTCTCGGTAGACAAAGGTTGTCCTCAGAAACACGAATATTAAAGTTATCTTTAATGAAGTTCACATGTTCCTGAATAATATCATCCTCTACAGAGTTAACCGGATGATAAGTAGAATTGCCACGACACTCTAGAGAAGTGAGATCGTAGCCAAGTTCGTTGAGAAGGGTTAAAAGATAAAACTTCTTGCAGACAAAAACATAATTATTTGAAGCTTTATCTACGGAGCAAATAATAAAAGAAGAAGAAAGACTGTCGAGATAAGATTTAACATCATCCCTTTGTAGAATGGAATTGTAGGGAGTGAAGTTATTAGGGGAGGAGGAGAGGAAGTTAAGGCGATTGGTGAAGATCCGGGATACCTCATCTTTCCAATCCTGGAATTCCAAACATGAAAGTCCATGTTTCCTAGCCATACGGGTGGCGAAGTTGGCTGAACACTCGTTGAGGCTCTCCAAGATTTGCTCAGGAGGAACAGACACAGGTTCCCTAAATTTGGTACCGTAACTCATGATGCCTCTTAAATCCTCGTGCTCAATGAAGGCAAGGTCACCGGTGATGATGTGGCCTCGAGGCTGATAGCAATAAGGGTTACTGGAACAGGGGCAATCACCTTCCAGGATGGAGGAAATAGTAGTATTATCAAGTGATTTAAGGAATATATTATAATTAAAAAGCTTACGCCCGACAGGAATATCGTACTTATAGTAAACTTTTAAGGGAAGGAAAGGCGTAAGGTTTGGAGGGAGAAGAGTCAAGATCCTAGAGTCACGAATGACTGATTCTATTCGGAGTTTATCAAATATTTTAGAACAATAGTGAAAAGTGATAAACTCGCTATTAACAGAGGTGATATTAGGAGAAGAAGTGCTGTCTTGGCCAGCAAAAGATTGTATAACAAGGAAAATGGCTCCAGATTTGCAGAGGGAATGAGAGCTAAGTTGCTTGAGCTCGCCTTTTTGAAGGCTACTTATATCTTTATAAAAGCTGTATTTGCTTTCAGACATTTTTCTTTTTAAACTTTCATATTTATTGTCAATCTCTCTTAAAGTGAGAGTCCTTTTGTATATTCTATCTTCATGGCTTTTGTTTTTCTTTTTTCTGCCATGTCCTCTTTTATATCTTTTTATTTTACTTTTAAAATAAATATCGTTAAAGTTGCTTTTAGAAATATTACCAGAACCTTTTATGTTGTCATTGAGACCTAGAGGGTGAGCAGTGCTCAGGAGATTAATCCAAAGAAGTTCCCTGTCAGCTAAGGCCAGACGAGGGTCTTCAGTAGAGGAAGGGTCAATAAAATCAATAATTTGAATGGAGGCGTCATGAAAATTATGACCGGGAGTATTAAAGTGGTCATGGACAAAGGAGGATTTGCCGGCTTTAACCGAAGCACGGTGTCCATTCATGCGTTCATTAAGGCGCTGTTCTGTGAGCCCAACATATTGAATACCACAAGAACAAGTGAGGAGATAGATAATAGAAGAAGATTTACAAGAAAAGGATTCAGAGTGAGTTAACATGAAAGAATTATTAGTAACGTAACTGGTGAAAATATTACTTGACCTGAATGGTTTACAGGTGAGACATCTTGACTTATTACACGGTGTTATATCAGGGGAAATAATACTGTTGGGATGAATCCAAGTGTTGGATGTGATGTTATATATTTTATTTCCTTTCTTAAGTCAAGAATTTACAGGACAAACTTAACAGCCGACTCCAACTGAAAAAGCCCAGGGAACCATCACCAACCAGATGCCTTGGGGCTGCCAAGGTTAAGCGGGCGTTAGGTGACATGAACTAATGTTCTCCCACTGTCACAGTGCAGCCAAGCAGAGTGCTGTTGTTCCAAGAACACTCTTTATAACCGGATCACACACTGCCGCTGCTTCTCGTACCGTAGCTCATTAAGACACTTTTATAATGCAAATTTAACTTCTGAGTTACACGTATTAGCAGCTGCACGGAACCAGCGTTGCAGATCAAACATTGTGTTCTTCTCATAATTGTCAATTTTTTAGTGTGAATTTTTTAAAAATTATAGCATTTAGACACTTAAATCTGCAATGTCGCTAGTCTGGTCTAATTTTATGTTATAATTCCATATTGTGTTGAATTTTGGCATGGGTTCGTTTTACTTGCGCGACCCATACCTACAATAAGTTTATCATCATTTTCTATAAAACCACTTCTATGAAATGGTAATATTAAATATTGTCTATGAATTTTTGAACGGACTATAGCTATGTATTGATTGTGGGTATAAATTAAAATCTTAGTTTTACTTCAATGGCTTTAAATTTACAGATTTCGTTTCTAATATATTGTCGATCATGCTTTGGAATGAACAGATTAAGGCTTCAACATCTAAAGCCAACAGAATGATATGTTGGATTGTTAGAAATCTGATTATCAGGGAAAAATCTGTGATGATATCCATTTACAAAGCTTTGATAAGACCCCATTTAGAGTATTGTTTTCAATTGTGGAGTCCAGTTGCGGCTCATGGAAGTTGGGGGATCATCTTAGAGCTGGAGAGCGTCCAGAGGCGGTTTATCCGTCTGATTGACGAGGTGGGTACTCTTCCATACAGTCGTCGACTGGAAATCCTCAATTTAACAACGCTGGCAGAGCGGCGAATACGTGGGGACCTCATTGAATCTTTTAAAATGATAAGTGGTTTGGCCAATTACGGAGCTGGTTTGTTCAGTATGAGCAGATCTGGTCTTAATGTGGTATCAAACAGTAGATGCAGTAAAAGTAGCAGTAAAATGAAGAAAGTCCACAGTTCTTTTCTTCCGGAGAGGGTGAGACCATATTGGAACAAACTCCCCTCGGATGTCAAGAATTGTGGGACTGTGTTAAGTTTTAAAATAAGATTAGAGGCTTTCAAAAAAGAGACTATTTTAAACGGATCTGTTAATGATAGTCCTTTTTGGTATGTTTCGGACGAAGTATTAGGAAAGATTGAGGGATTAAATTATGCTACTAATAAACAGAAGCACAATGAATATCTTGTGTGTAATCCTCATGTTGCTAAAAAACGCTTTATCAACTTATATAGTAGTGGAAAGTATGTAAACTAGATTCATTTTAACTTGGTTGTTTAGGCCAATAGATTTAAGATAATTTTAAAACTTTAGTAGATATATTTTTGATGATGTGTGATGATGTTTGTGTCATTATATTTTGATTTTGATTTGATTTTGATTGAGAACCAAGTGTAAGTTATTCTTAAAGTAAGATCGTAAGCGATACAGTTTAAAGTATGTAGCGTCTTTGATTTGAAATCCTTAGAACAACAGCGATTTCTCTCCGAGGAGACAGAGGGGCGAGCAAGAACTTTGTGGATAGAGAGAGTCTCGATTTGAACTTGGAGCCACAAGGCCAAGGGTGAATTTGAAATGTTTCTGCAAATATTTTAGTTGGGGAATATACGTATTGCATTTTTGAAGACTTCATTTTATATAGGGTTGCGCATCCTTGTACCACCACCGTCCTCTACAGGAGTAGAGACCAGAAAGGATTGCAGCTGAAAAACATCTGCACTGAGTACAAAGTCATCCAACTTATTAAGGGACACCAACTTTGTAACTCAAGTGACCCCTACATCAAAAAAGTGTACTCTAACCATAAGGCTATTGCAGACACACAGAAGATGTGGTCTTATCCCAAAGAGCTGAAAGACCGTCAGCGCCAACTTTACTTCCAAGAGTTAGTTGGAAAACCTGCAGTTGGTACAACTGGCCTCGGGTATGGGACAAGATATGAGGACACATCAGAGAGGAAACTGCTAACCAACATGGTGAGGACCTTTGATGAAGAGACACTTATTTGTTCACTTTTTGACAAAAAGCGGCAAAACCTCTTTCTCACATGGGAAAATACAATGACATTTGACACCACGTGGAATAACCTGATCTATCAACTTAGTCCGGAACTGTTAAAGTTTCATGTCAATGCTATCCATGACACTGCGTCAACACCTAGCAACCTAAAGCTTTGGAATAAAGCCGTTTCAGGAAACTGTAAACTCTGCAGCAAACAAGGGACACTCAATCATATCCTCACGTTCTGCAAGGTTGCACTGAGACAGGGACGTTTCAACTGGCGCCATGATCAGGTCCTACGTGAAATCATGAAGACTGTTTCATCACAGATTGAAGAGTTTAATTCCGACATCGCCAAGGAATCGAAGAGGGCACCGTCGGTCTTTCACAAGGCAGGCAATAAGCGCGAGAAGGTTACCTTAGCTGACCCAACTCATCATAAGACCAAAAGATATTTCTTTTCAGATGCCAACGACTGGAAGATAATATTTGATGAGGATGAGAGACAGAGGAACTTCCCGCAGCACATTGCAGCTACACCACTAAGACCTGATGTAGTGATCTATTCAGATAAAGCAAAGAAGGTTTATCTAATGGAGCTGACTTGTGGAAATGAGCAGAACTTTGCTGATCAAGAGAAGCGAAAGATGAAGAGATATCAGCAGCTGACAGAAGAGATAGAAGCCAACGGATGGGCTTGCAAGCTCCAGACAGTAGAAGTGGGAGCTCGAGGCATTTACAACTATAGCCTCCCAACCTTTATGAACCACCTGAACGTAAACAACAAAGAGAAGAAGAAGGCCTGCATGAAGATCGCTGAGATCAGCCTGAGGGCATCGTATACCATCTATTTGTCCAGAAACAATACCATATGGACAGATGATTGGGAGTTAGTCAAGAGACCAGTAATAGCATAGTAGGAGCGTAGAATGTTTGGGCCCAGAAAAACATGTTTAATACCGCTATGAACCCGTCATAAGCCGGGGACTACTATGAAAATGATGATGCTGTGTTGTTGAAAGACCTTCGACCAATCAAAGATGTACCTCATCACGCCAAGCAGTTATGCTTGTAGGTGAATATACACTTATAGAGTACAACAACTTTATAACACTCCATTGTGATATTATGTGTATACTGTTTGAATTCTTTTTTATCCTGTTTAAAGTATGCACTCGTAATTTTTTCTGAAGGGGACCCTCAAAAAATTCAGAATCTTTTGGTTAAGTTTCTTTACTTAACCCTTGATCAGGGTGTCGCCATCATTTGGCTGAGTCGTTGTTTGAATGTTGTTTTAATGCTTGTGTCTGTTCTTTTATTTTGTCAACAAATTTTGTCCACTTCCGACCACCTTCAATTCCTCTCTGTCATCATCAATTAATTTAACCATTATTTACCAGGCCTCCTTGCCCTATTTGCATAATATTTATATCATTATCTCATTCCTAAAATATTCAAAAACAATATAAGATGTCTAAATTCTAAACATGTCTAAAAATCGTGAGTAACTTCTAAATATCTATAAATATATAGCAAGTTGCGATCCAAGACAGGGTCCAATGAACCGTGTGGAATCTGAAACAATAACTGTCAATAAAGGGAACTACAGTATTCATATCAGAGGCAATAGTGAGGTATGTTAAAAACAGCGATTCCTTTCTTATAACAGTCACTTGGAGTATTTTATAATAATAATATGTTGATTCTAGAGCATGTGCTTGGTTTAAACCCTTCAGATTTTGTATCAATAAATTAATTGAATATTTCATATTAAGATGTATTTTTTTCAGAATGAGTTGGAGAAGCTACTCAGTTGTGCCCATATGCCCGGCAACATGAAGGAAAGGAACTTTCCTCCCTCTTTTTGGGAGTAAGTCAGAGTTTATTACTATTTTATAACCACCTTTTAGTTGCATGATCATGTGAGTAAATATTTGCCATTTTCTCAAATAATTCGCCCCTTACTACAAGACTGAAACTAATGATTAACCTTTACCCAGGCAGCCAGCGGAACACAAAAGAGCTAGGTCACTGGACTCACATCAACCCAGACGCGTTCACAACAATCTCAACAACATTCCCCTCCCCTCGGGCTGGGAGATGAGACACACCTCTTCTGGACAGCCTTATTTTTTAGAGTGAGTAGCTACTACCTGGTGTTATGTAAAGTCATGTAACTTTTTGTCCACATGATATCAGAATCAAACCATGTTGAACGTATCCTCAATTTACCATGCCACGATTTATTGCAAACCCCGATGGCGACAGTTTCTTTACCTCTGCTAAGGCGATCAGCATCCAACCGGCAGCAAAGGAGTCACCAGCAATGATGATAATAGACTTCTGGTGGTGTTGACAGTCTGTGATGGGGCTCATGGGGGCTTTATGTGAAACTTTATTAGGTCTGTTGGATGTGGTGGAGGGGAGGTCATTAATAAGTCCCATCAACTTAGGATGCTAGGGAAGTTGTTGATGGGATGTGGTTTGTTCACTACGTTTCCATAACAGTAGTTTTCTGATGAAGGGCTGAGCCATAGCGTGTGAACCTTTTCAGGTTTGCCTACCGGATTCAGAGAATCTAATTCTTTTAGGATTTCCTTGGAAAGACTTTCGTCCATTCCAGGGAGGACTGGAACATGCTCTGCGAGCAGATGTGGGCTATTAGGAAATACATTTGGAATGGGATCAGTAGTTTCCTTCTTCTTCTTCTTTTTCTTATCTAAACGCTCTATTTTTGAGGCGAGCTTTTCCTCTTTCAGACTGTCCAGGATACTCTGAGTAAGGAGGGTATGCATGTGTTGCCTTACTTTAAGAGATGCGGTTTGCAGTAGGGCAGAGAAATTGGTGGGCAGTGTTGGCATGTTGTTGTGAAGTGTGGGAGGATCGGTAGGAAACTTGGTGATCCGGATAACAGCAGGATGTTTCAGTGGCATCGAATATAAACCCCGGCAATCTGGATCTGAAACAGTTAAAAGGCCAGAGATTTATAGTTCAGAGAGAAAAATCTTAAATTATAATGTACAGAGGGTAATGAACTGTATAGCAAAACAAAGAATGCACTACTTAATTAAAGAAGGGGTAGCTAAAAAGGAGTTAATAAATTTCAATCATCTCTAGATCTCTAACATGGAAACTAACCTCATACCAGACCACAGGAGCCCTGGCAATACAATACTACCAGGGCATTAGGAAGAAACGATTGTCACCTCCACAACCTGCCATCAAACTCAGATCCATCACACCCAGGACACTGGCAGACTTTACTCCAACTAGGGTTTGCAACCGATATTATCGGCGATAATTTGTGAATAATTTCTAACTGATAAACCGATAATTTCAAAATTGTTATCGGTTATCGGCGATAAAAATTATTGGACTGATAATGCAAACCCTAACTCCAACAAATTACTCATTGGTAGCCATGCCTAAAATTATTTGTTATATAGTAGTGTTGAAAGTATTAAAACTGTGATTTAAAAAAAAACCCCGATCAACCATGAAACCCAATTTACCAAGGCTGTTTCCATTCCATTGATGTTTTACTATTTTACTGTATAATACAATGAATTGTTCAAAATTATAGAGGATTCGAGTTCTGATTTGGAAACCTAATGTTGATCTCCCACAGTCACAACACCAAGACAACAACGTGGGACGATCCCAGAAAGGGAGCTCACATGCAACAACAACAACAACAGGGCATGCAACACAACAACTACTTAGTCTCACAGAACAAGATCCTTCCACCAGGTTAATTATTAATTTGATAAATGGTTAATTAGATAAGTAGTTGATTAGTTAATTACAAATTTTGTTAACATATCATGATTAGTTGGCAAGTTAATAAATTTGTCAGTTAATCAGGTAAATATTCTGGTCGAAAATGTTTACTACTACAGCTGCTGATATCAACGATTTCACTCTAAAAAGATCACAGCTAACACAGTACTTTTTAAAACTAACTTGCTTTCTACTTTTGATTAAAAACCAAAACATTAGCAATTCTTAACAGTTTCCTTCAAATTATGGTTCTTGTTAGTATGCGATTTAGTTACTCTGTGCTTAGTGCCTTAGTTGGCAGATCAACCTGTTCAGAGTACTTAGCAGTGATCTGATGTTGCAAATTGCTTGTAGGTGATTTGCCCTATGCAGGCATTATGTTTGTATATGGGATATGTGCAGGTTAGCCCACTAAGTAAGCATGCTCTTTCTCTCTCTCTCTCTCTCTCTCTCTCTCTCTCTCTCTCTCTCTCTCTCTCTCTCTCTCTCTCTCTCTCTCTCCCTCTCTCTCTCCCCGATTTACCGCAAACCCCTATTTACCGCGGATGCTTCCTTTCCCCCAAACTCCGCGGTAAATCGGGGTTTTACTGTACCTTGTTTACTGTGTTATAAACATTAAACCTTGTTATAAACTCACTAAAAATACATTTACCCTCTCTAATTTTCTTACAAATAAATGTTCGGAGTTACATTTGGATGAATGTTAATGTCCTCACAAGTAGTGACACTCATTATAATCCATCATTAAGGAATTATCAATTAAGACTCTGGTATTATAGCCTACAATTGCTTATAATCTAAAAATAACGACTTAATTAAGATATTTAATAACTTAAGATATATATAGCTAAAATTCTTCCCAGGCGATTAATAATTACCCGAAATTGTGATTGATAAAAAGTTCTGCATTTCACTGCCATTCGTTTTTAGTTAATTTTGTGAAACGACATAGTCATAATATGTTCCTATTTACATTAAGATATCTATTTTTATCCAAAAAATCTCCCCGAGTTCTAAGTTATATTATCATAAACTTTTGGAAGAGAAAGTTATTAAAGTGAAGGTGAAAATAATTTAAAACTTTCTGTTCTTCAGGACACGCAGATCCCCTTCCAGTCGGATGGAAACAGTTCTACGAACAGGGAAAAACAATCTTTCTTAACGAACAAACGGGGCAGAGGACATTTGTTGACCCTAGACTTGGTAAGTTATCAGGTTACCAGCCACCAGGTCACCAGGTTACTAGATTATTAGATTAAATTTTAAAATTTAATGGATATTGGTTACCAGGCTACGAAGTAACCAGGTTTCTTGGTTACCACATGACCATGTTACCAGATAACCTGGTTTCCTGTTTGCCACATGACCAGGTTACCAGGTAACCAGGTTTCTTGTTTGCCACATAACCAGGTTACCAGGTAACCAGGTTTCTTGTTTGCAAAATAACCAGGTTACCAGGTAACCAGGTTTCCTGGTTACCACATAACCAGGTATATCCAGGTATACAACTACTCCTACCTGTTGAACAAGTAACCACTACCCATGAGGGCCCTAAGCCGCGCAATATATTCACCCATTGTTTTTCACAGCAGCAGCAATGAGTCGTCTCCGTGTAGAGAAACAACACAGTCCCAACAGGTCCCTTTGTTAGAAGAGTGCCTTGTTTAATAGTGTTGTGTTATACCTCTTGGAACTGGGCCAACTAGTGCTGAAACACTAGTTGAGTCAGGGAACTGAGAGGGGGGAGGTGTTGCACACTGAACAGGGCACTTTCTGCAGGAGGAATATATCGTGGGTAAAGCAGCTTTTTGTGCTAGATCGCCGTTATGACGTCACGTTATTATGACGTCACGTTATTATGACGTCACGTCACCCGCTGTTTTGGCTATAATTGTACACAGAACAATTTGAAATGGCATTTAGGGTTTGCTGAAACCATCATGAAACACGCCGTAAAGTGTCAGCATTTTATCATTCGGGTTAATGTTGCTGCTACTTATAATAAATAACTTAAATAACTTATATAAATAACTTCTTTTACGATTACACACTTTCCGTGGAACTGTTTATCACATATTGATTATTGGTGTAGCTTAGATATTTGGTGTGTTAACTTATCGTTAGTTCAACTAATGTTATGAGCGATAGCGTATAATTATGTAATGTAATTAAGTAATTAAATAATTATCCAATCAGTTAATAACTAAACTATTCAGGTCGAGGTGGAGTGGAGCCAATAATCCCTCAACAGAGTCCAGATCCCCGACTCAGTGGCAACCTCCGTCCCAAAGTCATGAACCCTAGTCGCCATAGAAAAGGGTAAGTCTGTTGTCTCACATGGTATGACGTTATGCCACGTGGTATGGCGTCATGCCACATGGTATGACGTCATGCCACGTGGTATGGCGTCATGCCACGTGGTATGAACCCTAGTCGCCATAGAAAAAGGTAAGTCTCACTTATTAAATATTTTTCTGATGTTACGATTAACGATAGCTTTGTGAAACATTTTGCTGTTTAGGACTGCAAAACAACACCAATTGAGTGTCATTACTCTTGGCTACATAAATAACCATAAGTCTCACATTAGCCCACTTGTAAAGAGGTGCTCTCTCTCTCTCTCTCTCTCTCTCTCTCTCTCTCTCTCTCTCTCTCTCTCTCTCTCTCTCTCTCTCTCTCTCTCTCTCTACCGGTGTTCATGATCTCTCGATGTTTCCACTCGGAGCTCTAGTCACGTTATCCCGCTTTGAACATCACGTGTTATCCCGCTCTAGTCACGTGTTATCCCGCTCTAGTCACGTGTTATCCCGCTCTAGTCACGTGTTATCCCGCTCTAGTCACGTGTTATCCCGCTCTAGTCACGTGTTATCCCGCTCTAGTCACGTGTTATCCCGCTCTAGTCACGTATTATCCCGCTCTAGTCACGTGTTATCCCGCTCTAGTCACGTGTTATCCCACTCTATCCGCAGCCAGGTTATTAAGTGGGGTCTCTGACAAAACACAACTACAATAACAACGAATGATAAGTGTCTCCTATATCACTTACACTGGGTTCAACATGAAACTATTGTTTTTCTAAACGAACTTTATGACGTCACATGTGTCGTCACGCCACGTGACTTACCACGTCATTTCACGTGGTGTGTGAAGTGGTGTGAGGTCACATCCGGTAGCGATTGTCACGAAAGCACACGCCGCTAATTCTGTACCAAATCTTTTGAAATTAAAAAGGTTTAATGAGAGAGAATCTAGTGTGTGTTGTATTGAACCTGTTTTATATACGTACAAGTCGGACAGTAGCAGTAGACATAGTGGGAACTATGTGGAGATACAGGCATCACATACATTACTGCTACTAGGTACATTACTGCTACTACTAGGTACATACCACTACAGTTACTACTACTAGGTCGGAACTAAGTCTGATCTACGCCAGATAACCTTGTTCATTTATCCCTGTCCCGCATCATATCAGGGTTCGCATAAGAGTTTGTCCCAACTTCCTTCAGTAACATAGACAAATAGCATCATACTGATACAGTCATGTCATGAACTCCGGATTTATGTCTCGCGTAAACTTTATTAAATTATGGCTCTCTACCCATTCGCCATCTATCTTCTAATTTCCAGTAAAATTTGATAATGTACTATCTAATATGACAGAAATGATAGAAATATGACAGAATGAGAAATTCTGAAAAAGTTTTAACTGTTATGTCAGCATTTTCATTTTAAAAGACATAAATTAAAATTCTAAAAAGTATCTATATTAGTGTAAGTTTTAAGCATACGGTACCAGTCCTTATCTTATTCAAGTACTTTTCTGGGATGTTAAGATTAAACACTGCTGAGTATAAGTTATATCTTAAAAGTGGTGTTATGAAACTTCAATTTACTATTATTATTATCTAGTTTGTACCTACCAATCATCCACCAAATATGTGGTTAATCTACTCTCCTTCAAAAACAACCACAAAAATAATTTCCATGATCCACCAAATCGAGATCACTAGTCCCCTTGATCGTACTAAACAAATTATAAAACATAAAATTTAGAGCACCCAACACCTCGCACAGCACTTTGCACCTCACACAGCACTCTGCACAGCACTCTGCACAACACTCTGCACCCGCACAGCACTCTGCACAGCACTCTGCACCCGCACAGCACTCTGCACAGCACTCTGCACAACACTCTGCACCCGCACATCACTCTGCACAACACTCTGCACCCCGCACAGCACTCTGCACAACACTCTGCACAGCACTCTGCACAACACTCTGCACCCGCACAGCACTCTGCACAACACTCTGCACCCGCACAGCACTCTGCACAACACTCTGCACCTGCACAGCACTCTGCACCCCGCACAGCACTCTGCACAGCACTCTGCACAGCACTCTGCACAGCACTCTGCACAGCACTCTGCACCCCGCACAGCACTCTGCACAGCACTCTGCACAGCACTCTGCACAGCACTCTGCACCCCGCACAGCACTCTGCACAGCACTCTGCACCCCGCACAGCACTCTACACAACACTCTGCACAGTGCACAGCACCCCGCACAGCACTCTGCACCCCGCACAGCACTCTGCACAGCACTCTGCACAGTGCACACTGTAGTACACTACTACTAACAGTAGCAGTGTAAGTATAAATCACGCTCCCTATTGACGTGGTCTAGTACACACTGTATCATTCTACTGTGAGAGCTGTGAGACACTGCCACTCTGCTCGACCTGCGCCATTGATTGAATTAAAACAGCTAATTCACTGGAATTTGGGTGTAATTAAATATTAGATGATATTATATACATACAAATGTGGTGTGTAATTCGGGTGTAATTATGTTGAATAGCAGACACATAATTACACATATTATGAGGAGTGTTATTTGTTAAGTGTTGTTTTGTTGGACTGGAATTCAGTCCAGATCTCTGTCAAATTAGATTCCAATTCGAGGTTAAATCATCGTAGAAATATCCATTGTGGACTAACTCCTGACCTTTGACTTTAGATTCAGCACAGAAAGTAGACAATTTGTTTATAGAAATTAGTACCTGGATCATTAAATTTCATTAAAATATCCGATTTGTCTGAAGTAATAATCTTATGCGAAGTTTGTAGTTTTACTGCAAGGGATTGATCCATTGTCTCGTATCGGTTGAAGTGCGAGTGTAATGACGTTTTAAAACTAGAACATTCTTGTTAAAGTATCATGCTTACATCACAACTACGTCAACAGAGTTCAAGTTAATCATAAAAATCAATAACTTTACCATCCAACTAATCAAAAGATCCTTGTTACCACGTGACGTCATCACAATACCTCGTGACGTCACCAGAGTACCTTAACATGACGTCATCACTACCTCAGGCCGTTGACCCCACTGACGCCGACACAACAGCACGCCGGTACGCCGCCGCCAGGTCCTGTACACTTCAGATCACAGAGTGTGGACGGCCGGGGCGGGTACAGTAATCAGATGAGCAGTGGAAGTTATAGTAATCAGATGAGCGTAGATCATCTCAAGGTAAATACGGGTATACGTATTTAGTTGAACGTATTAATTAAATTGTAACGTATTAAGTTTAAAATGTATTCTTTATTTCGACTGATTTAAAGAAATTACATTTTAGAAATGTGTGTTTTTGTATGCCACCCTAACCTTGCATACCCTCGCAGCAGAACCAGCTAGCCAGCCACCTGAACATGTGTACTATAGAGTCCCCTCCTCCTAACACTCCTGGAGAAGTTCACCCCAGTTTCCTATCCCAACCTCAGTTCAACCACCACCAGCACAGCAGCAGCGAACCTTGGGGTTAGTAATATCACGTGACGTTATCAATATGTCACGTGACGTCATCAATATGTCACGTGACATCATCACGATATGAGGTGACGTTATTATATAGGCACATGACGTCACCACAATATTACGTGACCTCATCATAACAACGCTCGACTATTTGACTGAGTTTATATATAAAGACTGTTGACTAGTGCAGACTACAGGGTGCTCCTTTATAATAACCATTGTCTAATTTCAGTGATGCCCTCACATCATGTTGATGATCAGAACATGGATATTATCTCCTCCCCTTACACTGACTACAATGAACAAGGCAGAGGTTAGTCAAACACAAAGGAAAAGTTTTTTAAGAGTTCGTATTTTTACATTGATGTTTATTGTTTATCATACCCTGAGACGAGGACCACCAGTTACCATGTATTCTCTACCAAACCTAACCAGTCTGAGAGTTAGAAGCCTGGAGACATGACATTATGCGTAATTGTCTCTGTTTACATATTAACTGTACTATCAACAAACATATTATACCGGTTTGTTGATGGGCAATTTAATAGCTCTGATTAAATTAGAGTGCCAAGCTTGTTCCTGCAAAACAACTGTCAACTTTACGAAGGAGCACGTTAAGATAACTTTGCGAAGGAGCACCAAAATATAGAACTTATAACTTTTCGAAATCCCCCGCCATAAAGTCGTCAAGGTTACCCGCTGACTAGTGCTCCTTTATAATAACATTTCATTTATCGCATCAGAAACAAGTCAACACGATTACAAGGTTTGTGTTTGTTAGTCGGAATGCCTGGGAAATGTTGCAGGGAGATTTGGAGTATGCTGAAAATTAGGTACCGACTACCGAGTTATTGAATGGTAGGAATATTGTGTTTTACTGGTTGAGCTGTAGTATGTGCTTGATTCTTGAACATTGGTGTGGTTTTCAGTGAATTTTAAAGTCGATCAGGAATGGTAACACATAGTTTTGATATGACCATATAAGGCAATACCGCTATATAAGGATAGAAGGATATCTTCAAGAAGTGAGCTGATCACCCAAATTAGGGCCTTGTGGTATTATTTGGACTTACACAGGGGCTGGGCCATGCCATTCTCCTTCCTTGTTTCTTAATCTTATTGAGGGGAGTGTAAGAAATAGTTTGTTAGTGACTAGGTCTAGTAGACGTGGTGTGAGTGTGAGTGTGAGTGTGAGTGTGAGTGTGAGTGTGAGTGTGAGTGTGAGTGTGAGTGTGAGTGTGAGTGTGAGTGTGAGTGTGAGTGTGTTTACATTGTTATTATTACACGTGTCATATGGGCCTTATGTAACTGGATCAAATAAAGGAATGTAACCGTATTTTACAATCATTAAGTGTATTTAATTAGTAGTAGTAGTAGTGTATTGCACCACGCAATCAAATAACTAATATATTGGTCTACACAAATGATCCGATACAATATTGTCTCCGAGAGAGTTAACTAGATTCTGTATTAAAGTGTAGTCCCCTCATGGGACTGAACCACAGAGAGCTATATTTAGTTTAATCTTACTCCGCATAATCATATAACTGAAATAAACCGTGTCTAAATTTAGTTAGATTCTCATCCTTAGTTTAGTCTGGTTCTTTAACCGGAAAATACAGGAAATCACAGTAGTTTAGTGTGACTAGCTCTCCTTCACGCAGTTCAGCAGTCGCAGATCTGTCTGGAATAAAGTGCTGCTAACATTAGGTTGGGCGCTGCTTACATTACACTGCTTACATTACACGGGGCGAGATGTACGAGATTAGGGGGCGCTGCTTACATTACACGGGGCGAGATGTATGAGATTTGTGGGAAAAGGTTTAAGTGCTAAGAGAACATGAAATATGGTCTACTACGTATTCTAGCATATAAATTAGGCTAGTTGTAAAAGGCCTACAAATGAGATTCCTTAATAACCAGTTTTCAGTGGCTTGTCTAATTGTAGTTTTGTCCGGATTTTATCTAGTCCGGTTATATTTAATCCGGAATTAGCCGGAGTATAAAAGCTGTGAGCACAAAATGAGACACAAGGAGTTCTCTGTTTTGTACAGGTGTGGCTAGTGTTAATTACTTAGGATAGAGGAAAAATAGCGGCATACTGGAACGAGCAATAAATATCCTTATATGGTCATGATAACGAGCTATACATTTCCTTATATAGGTATATAACGAGATGTACATGTCCTTATATGGGTGTATTTTACGGAGTGTCCTTATTTAATGTGTATTTCTTTATTAAATTTGACTGTATTTAAACGGCCTCGTAATCGTTTAGCAATGTTATTTGAACATGAATAGATAGTCACCATTTGTTTCAAAAATGAATAATAGAAAATTAAATAAATGGTTTAGCCACTGAATATGAATTCACAAGTTTTAAATCAGAAATTAGGATACATACAATATGTAATACACACTGATTTCTTTAATTTTAATATTATCATGATTTTATCAATAGTTTTACGTAAAAGCTTGATTAGCTTGTATGTTATTCCATATAATATTACGTCATATATTATAGCATATTATGCCATGCTATATATCATAAAATTACATATTATGACATATTACATCATATAATGACATATTACATCATATTATGACATATTACATCTTATTATGACATACACCATCATATTATAACATCATATTATGACATATTATAACATAACAACATCTACCAGACAGTAACTGGTATTGTCACACAGTAACTGGTTACTGTAACGTAAACTATATGATTTTAACTGTTAGTTAGGTCACTGCCTCCCATCCTTACGTCACCCCGTGCAGTTACTGAATTCTATCACTCTCCTAGTCACCCTGTATCTTATGTTCTAGAACCCATTGTAATTTTACTACTTTTCAAGGCCTCACACTGGCTGCTTTATAAGACCATTACATAGCCCATAGCTATTATAGCTGCCTTGTTGTATCACGTCTCCACTGTACATTCAGTACAATAAGGGGACCGTGTTACAAATGGCGTCAATATAATGTTTAAGAGAGTATTTTAGGTGGTGTCAAAATGCAGTTAAAAGAGAATCTTAGGTGTCAAAATGATACGTGAGGTGTGTCAGAGAATGAACAAGGAGCTAAGGGTTTCGTAATAGTTAGCAGTTTTCAGTGAATCACAGTATTTTACCTGTACTAGTCCGAGCAAGCTACTGTAAATAATCTCAAGAGTTAAACCTGCGCATACATTTATATAAATAGTGCGGTAACATATTGCTTTATACCTGTAATTACATGTTTTACAGCTTAATTACATTGTACTGCAATATCACTGTATATCATTTAAAAAAGTAGTTGTAACGTGACGTCACACGCACAATATGACATCAGACATGCCCTTATTTGGGCATATTATCGCACACCACGTGACATGACGTCACAGCTGAACACAGTGCACAATTAGCCTAGTCTGACTACGACCCACCTTTAACAGCTGCCTTGTCACTCTGTCAACTTTAATACTCATTTAATCCACAGCTCTAGAATTGATACTAGGTTTATGTGTATAATCCTCCTCCTCTGCAAAGTTATTACCAAACGCTTGCAGGTGTGTAATCCTCCTCCTCTGCAAAGTTATTACCACACGTTTACAGGTGTGTAATCCTCCTCCTCTGCAAAGTTATTACCACACGCTTACAGGTGTGTAATCCTTCTCCTCTGCAAAGTTATTACCACACGTTTACAGGTGTGTAATCCTTCTCCTCTGCAAAGTTATTACCACACGCTTACAGGTACAGGTGTGTAATCCCTCTCCTCTGCAAAGTTATTACCACACGTTTACAGTGTGTAATCCTTCTCCTCTGCAAAGTTATTACCACACGTTTACAGTGTGTAATCCTTCTCCTCTGCAAAGTTATTACCACACGTTTACTGGTGTGTAATCCTTCTCCTATGCAAAGTTATTACCACACGCTTACAGGTGTGTAATCCTCCTCCTCTGCAAAATTATTACCACACGTTTACGGGTGTGTAATCCTCCTCCTCTGCAAAGTTATTACCACACGTTTACAGGTGTGTAATCCTCCTCCTCTGCAAAGTTATTACCACACGTTTACAGGTGTGTAATCCTCCTCCTCTGCAAAGTTATTACCACACGTTTACAGGTGTGTAATCCTCCTCCTCTGCAAAGTTATTACCACACGTTTACAGGTGTGTAATCCTCCTCCTCTGCAAAGTTATTACCACACGTTTACAGGTGTGTAATCCTCCTCCTCTGCAAAGTTATTACCACACGTTTACAGGTGTGTAATCATGTACTGGGCGGGTTGGAGAAGCTGTTAACTCTTCACTGAACTTGAGAACTAATAAACCGACCTGGCTTCTCAGTTCACTCCATCTTCAGGAGTCACTTGTCAGCAACATGGTACATAATACACCAGGTACAAAGTACAAAGTACAAGCACTAACGCTTTATAACGTGCGTCTATAGGCTGAACTAGTCAAAAGTGTCACTTTGTAATATATACAGCCTCCGCAAAGTTATTACTATAGTTAACGGTACACACCCGCGAGGGAGGGGTTTCGTACAAGTAATTAACTGGATAAATTAACGATGTTTAAATTAACAGCTCAGCAGAAAGAAAGGAGCTTCAGATTCATATGATTCCAACTAGAGAACTAGGCTTGGTTATATCAAGGTGCTGTACTGAGAAGCACTGCAAGTTTTTCTGTTTTAACAACTAGATTGAAGCCGTGCGCTGGGGCCGTGGTCTGAAATCAAAGCGTACGATTGGCTCCTCCGCAAAGTTATTGTCACAGTTTATACAGGGTGCTGTCGGTAGTTCAGCTGAAGTATGGGGTTTGTTTTTTGGTGATAAAGTGAAGCCCCAGCTAACAGGCCGCTAGATTCTCAGCAACAAGAGTTCCGCCAGTTTTTCTGTGATATTGAAAGAAGTTAAGAGCGGTGATAGTTTAGAATTTGTTAGACGTACCGTTTGTTTGACTTGTTCAGCATGGTTTTTACCTTTCTGATGTGAAGAACGTAGTGTCAAAGCCATGCACATGGAACACTCCTCTGATCTTGTCTGTTGTTACTTCTAACAGCTGCCTTGTCACTCTGGGACAGACAAGGTAACGAGACGTGTAAACGAGATTTAAACAGAAAAGAAGTCGTTAACCAACTTTAAAGCTTACTTTTAGTTACAACCTTAAGAGCTTACCCTGAGTAACCATAGTATAGTAACTCTAAGTAACTCTTAGTAACCACCACCACGAAGTTTCTCACGCCTCCTGTCATCTCGCTGACGCCCTGTCTCACTTGACACATTCTACCTCCCTTCAACTCTGCTAAAGTTTTAACCTCGTTATTACCTCCCTGTTAGAACTCAGTCTGCTCTAATCTTGTGGCCTTGTAGAGGCCGGGGGGACCCATTCTTGACATACCTCATCAACGTTATACTTATGGGCACTTCTTATTTGCGTTCGATTACCTTCGAATTCACCTCAACTTTACACCTTTAAATATCTCTAAACTTTAACTTAACCTCAGGAAATTATCTAAAAGGGGCTCCAACAGAACACTAAACCTCACTTAACCTCAGGAAACTATCCAGGAGGGGTTCCAACGGAACAATCCACCCGCCCTCGCCCTAATCACATGACCCTGGGAGACCACATGACATTGGGGGACACGAGCAGTGAGCTAACAGATAACGACCGCATGTTGATAGAACACATGGATATTGCGCAGGAGGGAAATGGAGGCGGCTTAGGGGAGATCTACAATGCGGTGAGTTGTTATTTTCAGCACCGTGGCTACTTAATTTAGAGTACTACGTAGAGTACTATTAAGAGTACGGTAAGTATTTTTAGAGTACGGTAAGTATTTTTTATCTTGATTTAGAGTATGGTAAGTATTTTTGTCTTGATTTTGGCTCAGTGTGTTTTAGAGTTTGATAAATAAGTTTGATAAATACATTTTCTTTCACAGCTTAAATTGTTGGAAAGTAATCTTGTATCACATTTTGGGACGACTTTTAATAATTTAGAGTGTGTTTAATGTTATAGAATACGTGTAAGTCATAACTTATGCTTATTAGTAAAGTCACATTTTTAAAACAGATTTCCTTAGCCTTACTTCTTACATCGCTTGTTTATCATTTGCTTCTTTAGAATATTTTCTTGTTAAATTTTGACTTCACATATTACGTAGTTACGTTATCAGCCGAGGGGGGGGGGGGGGGGGGGGTTTCGAAATGATTACGTAATATGTGAACGACCCCTGGCCCTTATTGATACTTAGTTAGGTGCCATAAAACTTTAAATTATCAATTATCGCGTGTCAATGTTCATCTAAAACAAAGGCGGGTCTAAAACATGTAAAAGGTCCACAAAATCTGATGAGATTAGATCCTCTGCAAAGTTATTACCACAGTTTATACAGAGTTTAAACACCCATTTAACTATCTCATCTTTTGTTCTTTATCGTTAATTGAGCTGAGTCACAGTACCTCTTAATCAAGCATCGGTGTAATTCTTTTGTAATATTTTGTGCTTTCAGACAACAGAACGAAATGAGATTGATGACATGTTGAACCAGGACAATATTCTGGAATACTTCGCTACACCACTCTGAGACACTGAGACAGGTATATAGTTACCTTAGTAACCCTTAGTAACCCTTAGTAACGCTTAGTGACTTTTACCTTAGTAACCTTAGTGATCAGGATAATATTCTGTAGTACTCCGCTACACCACTCTGAGACACTGAGACAGGTATATAGTTACCTTAGTAACCCTTAGTAACGCTTAGTAACGCTTACCTGAGTAACCTTAGTAACCAGGACAATATTCTGTAGTACTCCGCTACACCACTCTGAGACACTGAGACAGGTATATAGTTACCTTAGTAACCCTTAGTAACGCTTAGTAACGCTAACCTGAGTAACCTTAGTAACCAGGACAATATTCTGGAATACTTCGCTACACCACTCTGAGACACTGAGACAGGTATATAGTTACCTTAGTAACCCTTAGTAACGCTTACCTGTACCTGAGTAACCTTAGTAACCATTATAAAATCTGGAGTACTTCGCTACACCACTCTGAGACACTGAGACAGGTATATAGTTACCTTAGTAACCCTTAGTAACGCTTAGTGACTTTTACCTTAGTAACCTTAGTAACCAGGACAATATTCTGGAATACTTCGCTACACCACTCTGAGACACTGAGACAGGTATATAGTTACCTTAGTAACCCTTAGTAACGCTTACCTGTACCTGAGTAACCTTAGTAACCATTATAAAATCTGGAGTACTTCGCTACACCACTCTGAGACACTGAGACAGGTATATAGTTACCTTAGTAACCCTTAGTAACGCTTAGTGACTTTTACCTTAGTAACCTTAGTGATCAGGATAATATTCTGTAGTACTCCGCTTCACCACTCTGAGACACGGTATATAGTTACTTAGTAACCCTTAGTAACCCTTAGTAACGCTTAGTGACTTTTACCTTAGTAACCTTAGTGATCAGGATAATATTCTGTAGTACTCCGCTACACCACTCTGAGACACTGAGACAGGTATATAGTTACCTTAGTAACCCTTAGTAACCCTTAGTAACGCTTAGTGACTTTTACCTTAGTAACCTTAGTAACCAGTATAATATTCTGTAGTACTCCGCTACACCACTATGAGACAGGTAGAAAGAGTGCATTTAAAGTTATACATTCAACCTAGCACCAACTTATAACCAAGTTATTAGAACCTGACTATAAAATTTAAACCGTACTCCAGACCAAATTTCAGAGCATAATTGACTGAACTTTGACTGAGCACGAGAAATAATCTACTCATACCAAAATATAAATAACAAATAAATTCTAACATTTATTATACGCTTCGACATTAAAAATTTTCAGAACATAAAAAAGATATATTTCGAGATGGTGAAATAAACATCCACATTCATCTCAAGATATCGAAACCATTGACTCTTGAAGACAAAACTCACTATAGTCCGGACCATGTGTACGTGGCCCCCGTTTCTAGAAAAGCCGAATTCCTAGAATCTAAGGAATGTTGCACGATTCAGGGGACACAAAACATCCATGTTACAATGTATGCTGCACCACTAAGTGTCCTTTTTATAAGTTTATGATCTAAGCTGGTGTTGGAATGTAAGCATTCCAACAATCATGGTAATCTGTGCTATTTTGTGTACAGAATGTTCAATCAATCGAATTACGTTGGTAACGGATATATTTTGTTTTTTATATATATTGTTGTTTGTTTAAAAATATGGGTAGTTAAAAAATAGTCATATAGTCATATGCCTAATTTTCCGTATTGCGACAATATAATATGCACGGCAGATGATAAAGATTGAGAAGGCGTTTTTGAAATCTGTAATACACGCTCTGAGTATATCGCAGTAGATATTAGGTAACGTTTAAATTTGGAGTTGAGCTGATAAACTAAACAACTCACATGACTAGTACTTTCTATTTCGTTATTTTGGATTGCAGTACCACCACCCACCTGGCGCCGCCCCAGTGAAAGTAGCTGGATTTTGTATTTTGAATTATCATTTAGAAACAATCTAGTCTGATGCACATTGCACAGCCGCGCCACCTAGGGATGATTTAACCATTTTAGAAAATAAAGGATGCAATAGTTAGTGGTAATTATGGGGCGGCGCTTAGCGCTGTAGTTATAAGTTTAAAATAATAATAAAATTGCATTCCTATTTTATAATCAGCAATAAATCAATTAGTTATTGACACTGTGATATCTACAGGCAGCAACGCTGGCGTGTAACCATAGCAACAGCGACAGTGCAAAAGAAGACAAAACACAGATTACGTGAATCAGTTGACGTTACTCCTCAAGGAATGTGAGAGATTGGTTAATTAGTTAATGAGTTAATTGACTAATTTATGTGACAATTACGTGCGCGTAACATAACCTACCTGATAGTTTATCGAATATTAATGAGTGATGCATCACTAAAAGTTGACAGACTTGAATCTGTTATAAAACACATTAACCTAGTGTTGCAAATTAGTTTATAAGTTAATTAGCTAATTGGTCAATTAGCTAATTGGCCAATTAGCTAATTGGCCAATGAGCTGATGGATTTGTTTAAGTGTTATAAAATAGCCTGATTAAGTAAACATGTAGACAAGAGTTGTAATATATCTTTATAAAATTTGCAGAGAAGTTTGTGAGCATTTACCTTATTAGAACAAGTGAAGTAAGCATTTACCTTATTAGAACAAGTGAAGTAAGCATAGTAACATCTCCTTATACGGGCATCACGTGATAAGCAAAATATCAAGAATCTTTACAGATATTCATTCTTTATTTTGTACCCAAATACATGTTTTCTAGTGCTTGCTTGATTTGATATGATTTGGTATATTGAGTACACACGAGGGAGACAGGTTGAGACTGGTAGAATTTACAACACACAATTATATAATTTAATGACTTAATTTATGTAATCATGACATGAATTATGTTGGATTATAATTTGTGTTGTAGAACGATAAAGTGTTTCTAATGGTAGGATTAATATTGACACTATGACCTGACATAGGAGTGTAGAGTAATTAGTTAATTAATTAGTAATTAATTAGTCGAGGATTGAATTTACTTATTTAAACTGTTTTACAACAGGCCGTAACTCTTATCTGTGAAGCAGAGTTTACCTATAAACCTACCATCCATTTACTTATTATAAGAATTATAAGAAGAAATAATCATCCATTTCCTCAGCACTATTCCAACCTTTTTAACAATTTCATGGCCGCCAAGACGCGGTGTGCAGAACGACTTTATTTTGTGCTCTCATTCAGACAAAATTTGGTGCTTGTTATAAGTCACGTGACTATATCTTGTTTTAAAACAATCTTATTGGATGAGGTCGTAATTTATTATGCATCAGCAAGTTTACTGACAAATTAGAACATTTATATCAAGCGGCTGTTTTAGATGAAACTTTGATTTTTTTGACAGAATTTGAGAATTTTGTTTGAAAATCCTTTGCTTTTACTTACGACCTTTTTCTAACACAATGTTAAAACAATCTTTGTAAACATGGCTTACCCAGAAGACTTTTAGTTTTTGTAGATATTTCTTAACACATATATATAATATATATACCTTCAAGTTGTCACGTGACGCGTCGTGACGTGACGTGACACCACGTGGCGTGACTTTATATGACGTCATCACGTGACAAATTACGTGATTTATGATGACGTCACGTGACATGTCGCTCACTCAAGGTAATGTTTATATTCGAGTTATTAGAGCTTTTCTAACTTATTATATTTTTATACTTTATGTATTGACCACTATACAGATTACAATCCTGCTTGATCCCCTGTACATTTTAAGTTAGCGTGTGTGTGTGTTAGACCACGTGACATGACCACGTGTGTTTGTGTGTTCTTAAATCTCTTAACGTTAATCCCCGCATTATAAAATATATAATGAGATTCTCTCATGTCGGGATTTATACTTATTTCCGGAGTTTTGGGGCCAAAATAATAACGTTATCGTAAACATTATCAGCCGTTCTTATTAAGTTTCGTCAACATGGTTTAAATTCCAGACGATATGTCGTACCGGACAGATTTGGGTAAAAACCAAATTCTAGGTGGCTGAGGGTTTCAAATTAAACGGGGGAGAGTGGGGTATACGGGGGAGAATGGGGTATACGGGGCAGAGTGGGGTATACGGGGGAGAGTGGGGTATACGGGGGAGAGTGGGGTATACGGGGGAGAGTGGGGTATACGGGGGAGAGTGGGGTATACGGGGGAGAGTGGGGTATACGGGGGAGAGTGGGGTATACGGGGGTGAGTGGGGTATACGGGGAGAGTGGGGTATACGGGGGAGAGTGGGGTTTACGGGGGAGAGTGGGGTATACGGGGGAGAGTGGGGTATACGGGGGAGCGTGGGGTATACAGTGGGGAGTGGGGTATACGGGAGTATACAGGGGAGAGTGGGGTATACGGGGGAGAGTGGGGTATACGGGGGACAGTGGGGTATACGGGGGAGAGTGGGGTATACGGGGGAGCGTGGGGTATACAGGGGGAGTGGGGTATACGGGGGTATACAGGGGAGAGTGGGGTATACGGGGGAGAGTGGGTAGACGTCTTGGGAGAACAGATCTTGAATATTTAAGGGGATTCGTGGTTCATCCTAGCTGGCGCAAAATATTTCAACATATTGAATAGATCTCCCCCTTCATCATCTGTTTGGTACCGGTTTTTTGTTGTAATTTCGGCTTTTAGACATGGATGGTAGCTGGGAAGTGGTGCACGTTTCTTTTAAATAATTGTCTTGCAACCTCGACCAATGAAATCCCTACATTGCTGTCACATGATGTGACGTCATGTCACGTGGTGTGACGTCATGTCACGTGTCAAAACAAACGTGCACCACCTCCCCGCCATTACCCACGGCTACTGTTTACGATATTGTTAGCACTCGTTCATTAGACCTTAACAAAAAGGAATTCACTGTTTCCTGTGATAGTAGTAAACAATTACTAGATTAACTAAAAATTGTTAAATAATTACTAAAAGTTACTATTAAATACCCGTCGGAAAGATAGAGTGACGTCAAGCAAAATGGTGTTTTTTAAGCTGTTGATATTTAGTAAATATTATTTGGTGTTTTTAATTGGGTTGCATTCCGAAATGTTGTTTTTAAAATCTTCGTAAAATGCTGGCGAAGTCTTGTAAAAATAATCCTTGCACTCGACCTTGTTGCATGCTTCTTCATCTTTTATGGGTAAGTTTTTCTGTTTTGATCCGTTTGAAAAATATCTCGGAAGCTTTGTTGAGAAGTTTAGAAAGACGTGGTTGGGCGTGCCACCACGACAGAAATGTGTTAATCAGGCTAAATATTGGAAAGTTAAATGATTAAAGTATTACCATCACTGTGTGCCACCCTAACCGAAGCACGACCTAGCCGAACAAATCCCTGTGCAGTGCATCATAACACTTAGTCTGTAGAAAACAATAAGTCTGTAGAAAACAACAAGCTTTCTACTACAAAATATTTGGTGTGGCTCTCCAAGCTCTCTCCTTGAGAGAATATATGCAGCATTATGTTTCTACATATATGTGACATGTATATTTTCTGAGGATTGATTTGCACTACATGTATCCAGTAACGCCTCTACCATATGTACCGCTAAGAATGCTCTGAGCGGACATTTTTAGTGCTTCTTGCTATTGTCAATTGCTGGTCCATGATGTGCTGCTTGACAAGGTACTTCACTGCGGTCATGATGGCTCTATATTGGAAGTAAACGTGATATGTGAGTAGTAGAATATGTAGGGTCAAGGGTGACATCATAGGATGAAGCTAGCTAGAGAGCTAGGCTAAAAAGGGGGAGGCGATGTGATTTTAATTGAGTTTGAGCTTAATGAAACGCAGTGTTGATCGTCTGTGTTATTTGTAAGATGATGTATAATGGTGAACTGTGATTGGAAGTAGGAGTCTTTATTGTGGATCAATAATGTCACTCGTAATATATGTAGTATATATGATATCATAATGTCACGGACATTGAGAGGGTGAGTGGATTTTGATAGTTGTTAAGATACTTTGTACTTTTTATTAGTGTTTAACAAATTACATTTTTATAATCTTCAATTTGACTTCAAATTTGAAACTTTTTATCTGATCGTAATCATTTGTCTATTGTTTGTGTCATTAAGAAAATTCAGCTTTCTCAGCTAAGATCGTTATTATTAGAGATAAGACTCCACTTATTATAGAAGTCGGAATTATCGAAGGATGGTCAAACGCGATCTGCACAAAGGACAGACTTCACACTCCCGTCAAGTGATAGAGATGCCAATGTGATCATTCTGCAGAAATACTGTGACTCTCCTTATTGTTGAAAATTTGATCCCAAACCGCAGAAACTACATACGTCTTTTATGAGGGAGGGTCCTTAATTATTGCCAGTGACAGGCCCTTATGTTAGAATTTATGTAGCGCGCGGTCACAACTCAAATCATTTTCCCGCGCTGTTAGTCAAATTTTAGCGCGCCTGGTGCGCGTGGTATGACATCATAGCGCTACGAAGGGGTCCTGTGTTGCGTATTTTACAAGAGGGACTTCCTGAACATGCTCTATCAAGTTCCTACTTTTTCTTGTATCCTAGATAAATGGTACTATCAGGATCTTGTTGACGTGGCACCGTCCACAACCAGTGCACTTAACAGTTATGGACACAGTGCTGCAATGTTAAACTTTGGCACAAGATTCAAAGAACCATGTGGTTTATGAATTGTAGTATTTATTTTGTAGGTGATTCCAAGGTTCCATCACCTGGGCTGTGGCTCATTATTTATTAAAGAACAAGCACTGGGGCCTTGCACTTAACCGTGGTTGAAAACGAGCGCAGTGATTGGTCCAGATAACTTTTCACTGGCAAGTTGCCTGATTTTTAATTAGGATATAATCTGTGCTTGAGATCATCACAATTCACATCAGCATTGATATCCGGTGATCTTACTTGAGGAATTTATGAACCCCTCCCTAATTTATTGTATTAGGCTGTCCTGACCTGGATTTTTTAATTAATTCAAACCATGATGATGTATAAGTAACACAGCCTTCTTTGGTCTTGCATTTCATGCTAGGTTGTCTGCCATGATACAAGAATAGATACTGATGGTTTGTATTCAAAACTAAGGATTGATTAACAATGTCCAGGCCGTAGCAGTACTAAAGTACGTTGCATAGCCCATTTATTCACATTAACAGTAATGAAAAGGTTACCAAGCTAGGCCAGTATCGCTTAAAATTAGATCAAACCTCAAAATACTCAGTATTGAGTATAATATGTACAGCAATTCCAAGAAGCAGATTTTCCTTGAAATCACAATACCAATTAAATGACAGAAATGAATAAATTTAATTAAAAAAGTGCGATATCTATTATCTATCGTTCCATAAAGTCCACTGAGTACTATTAACATCAAAACCACACCCCATACGACAACACATCATCCTGCTCCAACAACCGCACCATCTGAACAACAAAGTTGCTATCATCCGAACTCTGCAACTGTTTCTCGTGCAGGTCGATATAATTATTCTGTGACGTCAGACTTTGTGCAGACCAACTAAACAAGTCATCTTGTGTTAAGAGGTATCTCCCGCGGTATTCAGGTTTATAGTCGTGAGGTCGGAAGTAAAGATCTCCATCTTTAAGTGGGTAGATCTTGATCAGATTCTGAAAGATCTTTAATTTGACTTAATTGAAGTTCAACGATGTTTGATGCTATCACAACTTTAAGTTAAATATGGACTTTGATAACCGTTTGCTAAATGCCAAAAGATTTAACGAACATTCACTAATTGTATTGATAATTTTGTAGCTCAAGCTATTGCGCTCCTCATATAACGTGGATCTGAAACTTTAAAAGTGGAGTACCTTAGAAGTTCTGAGTGACTGTAACATAGTGTTTGCCAGAAGAGAAAAGCTCAGCAGGGTAGAAAACAGGAGTAAAACCAACAACACAGGCATTGTTGGTATCTGCAGTAAACAGGGGAGGTTTTCAAACAGAGATATGCATACTGCACAAAATAATCAACATTGAAGAGGCTAAACGTTATTGGTTTACGTAGAGCGGTCTACTTTTTAATCCATCATTTAAGTTTAAAATAGATCAAGATGTTTTTAACGAGCCTCACAGTTGTTTAATAATATCTTGTTGGGCTTGCACGCTCGTTAGAGAATGTGCAGGAGTACTTACTTAAATTAATATATTGTGAGGGGAAAGTGTGTCAGAGAGAGGGCGTTACACTTAAAGGAAGGAGGGTGGGTCATGGGAGGATGTAACACTTATAACAGGGAGGAGGGTTGGTCAGGGCGTTACACGTAAAGGAAGAAGGGTGGGTCGGGGAGGGCGTTACACTTATAGGAAGTAGGGTGGATGTTACACTTACGTCTTACGGGGAGGAAGGTGTTAAAGAGAGGGTGTTACACTTACAGAGAGGAGCGTGTTAAAGAGAGGGTAGGAGGGTGTTACACTTATAATAGGGAGGGTGGATGTTACAATTTGACTTGCAGAAAGGAAGGTGTTAAAGAGAGGGTGTTACACTTACAGAGAGGAGCGTGTTAAAGAGAGGGTAGGAGGGTGTTACACTTAAATCAGGGAAGGTGGATATTATACTTTGACTTACAGAGAGGAAGGTGTTAAAGAGAGGGTGTTACACTTACAGAGAGGAGCGTGTTAAAGAGAGGGTAGGAGGGTGTTACACTTATAACAGGGAAGGTGGATGTTACACTTTGACTTACAGAAAGGAAGGTGTTAAAGAGAGGGTGTTACACTTACAGAGAGGAAGGTGTTAAAGAGAGGGTGTTACACTTACAGAGAGGAGCGTGTTAAAGAGAGGGTAGGAGGGTGTTACACTTATAACAGGGAAGGTGGATGTTAAACTTTGGGGGGGGGGGGGGGGGGGGGGGGGGGGGGCCAACCATATTAAAGTATATTAAAATGTAGGATTTTTCCCGATTTTGACCCGGGGATATACTTTAATATACTTTAATATACTTTAATATATCCCTATCTCCTTGGAGGCCTACATCAAAAATTGTTGCCCAAAATAAGCTTGAAATGCAATTCTTAATCGATTCCAAAAAGTTCTTGAAAAAATATTGAAAACTGATGGAGTTATTTCAATTTTAATGAAGTCATTTTGGCTAGTATTCCGAACCGAGATATTACGGGTATATGGCCCCCAGAATATAGGTCGTTTTTTGAGCACTTAGAAACAGGTGTTAAAACTACTTCTAAGCATGTTTAGGGCTGTAAATATGTACATAATAACCCTTTAAATGTTTCTTGGCCCTTGGGTAGTTGAAAATAATTATTAGGTTTTTAAGTGTACTTTTTTTTCACCTGTAAAAATACCATTTTTTAACAGGGCCCCCAGAATATAGGTCCAAACATCTGTTCCTAAGTTGTTCTAAAATTGTCACAGACAGTTATATGCAGTCAGAATATGTTGCTGAGACTGTATTGATGATGCCAATGGCTCCAGATACTAAATTGAAATGGTTTAGAGTATACTTAATAGCAAAAAATCAAAAACTACGGCCCCCAGAATATAGGTATGCAAAAATCGTCCTCAAATACTCCACCTTCATACATTTTGATGATGCCATCTCTTCAGCATATGTTCTTTAACTGTTTCTCATCACTACCCCACATTCCTTAATGCTCAGGGTGACAGAGAAAATGCAGAATCTTGGTCGCTATTTTTTTTTAAAACCTATATTCTGGGGGCCATATACCCGTGATGAGTAAAATCTTTAATTTTACTTGTTTAAAAGCTTTCATGCACTCATTTAGTAGGGATCTTAACTAAATACTTAAATAAGATTGAAGGAGTGTCCCTAGATATGATTGAGGGGGGCTGTTTTTATCTGTATCAATACAATGTGCACCTCAATGACTGTAAATCAGACATTTTTGGCCGCCAAATTTTTTTAAAGGCCAAACTCAAAATTCTGTCCCAAAACTTAAGGTCATGAGACAATTCTACGTTGATTCTGAAAATTTCATGTGAAAATATTGAAACCCTATTGAGTTCTATTGTTTTGAGCGAAGTCAGTTTGAGATATGGGCGATTTTGTTCATTTTTTGCGATTATTTGAACACAGAATCCACAGTTAGGTAGATATTGAGCTGATAATCATAGAGAATGTGTAATATATGCTTACCTTCCATATAAAGTTGGTTTCATTCAAAAATATTGATATTTGACCAATTTATGGACCAAAATCGATCAAATTTGGTGCGTATGCCCAAATATGGGCATATGGTTTTTGTTTTTATCCCATAACTCGGCCAATTTTTATCCAATTTTGATAAAACTTGATATGTGGGTTCAGGAGACTAGTAGCTACAAGTAGAGCATCCCAAAGCATGGTTTTGGGCATGTTCAGGGTTTTTGACCAACCTATATTCTGGGGGTCGTATAGACCTATATTCTGGGGGCCCGTAAAATTGTGGTGGCCATAACTTTTTTCCAAATTGTCAGTTTGCAGATGTCTCGATGAAAAGATAGCTTAAAATAATACTTATACTCATACCAGTAGTCTTAATGGCATGTGTTGGACAGATTTTTGTCATGACAATTTTTCGCCATATTTACCCCTCTAGAAAATGAAATCATCGTTTAAGGGGGGGGGGTTCACCCTGATTTTTTTGTGAAACTTAGTTTCGAGATAGCAGTTGACCAACAAACTAGGACCGGTGACCGAACTTCTGAGGGGGTCCCGGACCCCAACCGCCAAACGGTGCCTGCGGGGCAGCCACGCCCATATTTGATCCAAATTAGGCCCAATTTAGCCAAATACCCTGAACATGCCCAAAACCCAGATTTTAGGTGCTCTACTTGTAGCTAGTGGTCCCCTGAACTCGTATATGAATTTTCATCAAGATTGGACAAAAAATGACTGAGTTATGAGCCAAAAACCATATGACCATATTTGGGCATACGCACCAAATTTGATCGATTTTGGCCCATAAATTGGTCAAATATCAATATTTTTGAATGAAACCAACTTTATATGGAAGATATGCCCGGCAAATTTCAGAATTTGGCCGCCAAATTTTTTTAAAGGCCTAACTCAAAATTCCAATACAAAACTTAAGGTCATGAGGCGATTCTACGTTGATTCTGAAAATTTCATGAAAAAATATTGAAACCCTATTGAGTTCTATTGTTTTGAGCGAAGTCAGTTTTGCAAATATCGCGAACTGAGATATGGGCGATTTTGTTCATTTTTTGCAACTATTTGAACACAGAATCCACAGTTAGGTAGATATTGAGCTGATAATCATAGAGAATCTGTAGTATAGGCTTATCTTCCATATAAAGTTGGTTTCATTCAAAAATATTGATATTTGACCAATTTATGGGCCAAAATCGATCAAATTTGGTGCGTATGCCCAAACATGGTCATATGGTTTTTGGCTCATAACTCAGTCATTTTTTGTCCAATCTTGATGAAAATTCATATACGAGTTCAGGGGACCACTAGCTACAAGTAGAGCACCTAAAATCTGGGTTTTGGGCATGTTCAGGGTATTTGGCTAAATTGGGCCTAATTTGGACCAAATATGGGCGTGGCTGCCCCGCGGGCACCGTTTGGCGGTTGGGGTCCGGGACCCCCTAAAAAGTTCGGTCACCGGTCCTAGTTTGTTGGTCAACTGCTATCTCGAAACCAAGTTTCACAAAAAATTCAGGGTGAACCCCCAGCCTTAAATCTTTCGCTGTCATGACCAAATATACCAAAATACCTCATGTAGGTCCAAAATTTTTATCCAGAAACATAAGTTACATGTTTTACTCCAACCTAGCAGTAACAGATCCCATTAGTATCGCTTATCTTGGTTAGAAATGTATCCACTAACATGACCTATATTTTGGGGGCCACCTATATTCTGGGGGCCATATACCCGTATGTGCAATTTTCCCAATTTTGTTCATGGAGGTCTTTTTACTTAGTATCCACTATATTCAACTAACACTGAGTTATATCTTTCACATAGAGTTAGTCTCATTAAAAAATATTGAAATTTTATCGAATTTGGGCAAAAGCGAATTTGGGCAAAAGCGTATGCCCAAATATGGGCATATTTTTTAAAGCTCATAGCTCAGCCAATTTTTGACCAATCTGGATGGAAATTCATGTACTAGTCCTAAAACAGGCTTATCTTGCGAATCTGAGTGAAAAATATAGTTCATCATGTAAATCTTAACGAAGAATATAAATCTTCTAATTGTAGGTATATTAAAGTATATTAAAATGTAGGATTTTTTCCGATTTTGACCCGGGGATATACTTTAATATACTTTAATATGGTTGGCCCCCCCCCCCCCAACTTTGACTTACGGGGAGGAAGGTGTTAAAGAGAGGGTGTTACACTTACAGAGGGTGTTAAAGAGAGGGTAGGTGGGTGTTACAGAATGAAACAGAAGGTGTAGAGAGGAAAGTTCAGATGGGGAGGAAGAGACAGGTATTTAGAGGGTCATGAAAAAAGTGAAGAGTGGCGGGAATTCTTTCCACAAATGGCGGGAATTCTTTGCACAAATTTTCAAGTTGGTACCATCCCTGTGAATAACATCCAGATTTAAAACTGACCCTTTCAGTGCCGACCCCCCAAACCTACAGAATGCAAGCAGACGCAAAAGCAATTTCTTCCATTTCAAAATGCCCCTGTTATTACACGTACAGTTTCCCCTATAAATTAGGTTAATCAATGAATTTAGAGGATGATTTGGTGCGCTGTAGAATTTCTAAATACTCGGCGACCCAAAATTCAAATTATCAATTTTTTATGGCTATTTTAGACCTGGTGTATCTGTGCCGACTTGGTTATAATTAATTGTGTAATCGAAAGAATTATCTCATTTCTGATCATCGATAAAATAAATATAGCAAACGCTAAAATATTCGCAACAGTATCAATTCACGCATACAACATATCACTGAAAAGGTACATCACATCACGCCGTGCGTGACGTAATATCACGTGGTGTGACGTCACGTCACGTGTTATGTCGGCATACAACATATTATTTAATATTTCTAATCATAATATGTAATCGATTTCACTCACAAGTAGTACTATTCCATCGTTATATTAATTAATTATCCATTAAGAAAGTAAATAAAGACATGGTTTTTTAGGTGTCTCCATTATTAAGAGCTGAATTGGATTTCAGTAACTTTAAATCACAAAGAATCTAGCTTTACAATTAAATTTAAATGCGGGATGAACATAATTCGTATTTTTACAACAATTTGACGTGATAATCTCATCTTATTCCTCAATCAGTCACACAATACTTTAAGCTACAATATAATACCAGAAGAAACATCAAAACGTCTGAAATAAGCATAACATGAAGGTTGTAATTAAATAACAAGAGGGGAGAAGGATATCACGTGATCATTGATTAACGGTGGTTAGACTAAGAAGAGTGTTCGCAGCGGCTGTATCCCGCGACTTATCTGCAACATTCAGCACGTGCGTGGTTGAAGTGGCGTGTTGCACGTGCGTGGTTGAAGTGGCGTGTTGCACGTGCGTGGTTGAAGTGGCGTGTTGCACGTGCGCTGTTGAAGCGCTGTGTTGCACGTGGACTGATGTAGTGCCGTGTTGAAGATGTGCGGCTACACCGTGCACTTGCGCAGAGTTGAAGGATGAGGAATGGAGGGGAGCTTGTTCGGGGTTACTGTTAACAACTGAGTGCTGCCTGGAGTAGTTGGAGAGTTAGCAACTTGGAGTGTTAGAAACTGAAATGAACTGACCAAAGTGTTCGTGAAAGAAACAAAAATAACTCAGATGTTTTACGACTTCAGCCGTAGGGGATTATCACTATTTTCGTAGACCCCTTTCTAGAGTCAATTAAATTAAAATTTCAAAGCAGTAAAGCAAGGCAAATTGTTGGCATAATGTTTCATAGTGAACATCTCCTGGACAAACATCGCGGCGTATTATAATATGATCGCCAACGATCAAATGATGTGATCTTACACCTAATATTGCTACCGCAACATGTTAAATAATAACACCACGCGATTAGAAACTTGTATAACCTAACCACAAACTAACATGCTACAAGACGGACGGCTGGCCGAGCACACGTTCTTACCTATTACCTTCTCAGTTTTTAAACTTTAAGCGCTATGATTATCTTACAATATCCCTTACAAAACTTATCAGAACACGTTTACTTGATACTGCGAGGAATAATAAAAATTAAGACACTCACCCTTTGTAAGAAGGATATCCGGAGCTGTAAGTCGGAGCATCAAAAGAGTAGGTCTCTAGAGCTTGCTTTTGAACCTCCGTCAGTTCCTGAATAACATGGTCATGTAATCTGGAAAAGAGAAGTGAGGAGATCTACATCCTACAGAGCAGTGGCGTAACGTTGCCTGGGCGCCCCCTGCACAGCGGGGTTAGCAGGGCCCTTCGTTACGCCACTGCTACAGAGATGGGACGAGTAAATAGGAGCGGTGGACAGTACTAAACTTGAGCAATTTCCGCGCGGCTTAGATTTAGGTTCTCAAACAGATGAGATTATTCTTAAAGAACCAAACTTACTTGAGGTTCGTACTTGACAGATATTTGTTGAGGGTGTTCGACTATTTCCAGCGGTTTCTGTTCTTCGTCAACCCTACAGTAGTACGAATAACCTCCACGAAATAGACTACATGTTACATGATACAATGACGCTCTGTGCACATGATATGTAGCTTAGTGCACAATTAACACTATACATTGCAATGATAATGTATACACACACGCTCACTTGAAAACCAGCCAATAGCTTACCGCCAACTGCTCTGCTATTTTGGTCCACAGATTATATGCAGCGCGCGTAATGCGCGCGCGGCGCCAAAATCTACGGCAGTCGGGTCCTTTTCATGACTTTAAGCTTAAATTGTCAGCATTTTAGGAAGACCTTGCCTTGGATTTGTTTTGAAAGTTCCGCTAAAATATTTCTTCACGATAAACCCCAGATAAGAACAAAATACGATGATTAAGATCCAACTTTTCACTGAAGCGATGTAATCGGACACGAATCAGTCAGTTTTACCAGCAAATAACGAAATGTTCGGTCGCATAGTGTTGATAATTCCGTCGTCAAAAATCTGGGAATGCGCGTGCCTACAAATATGTAAGCTGGATCTAAACCCTGCATTCTATTAAACACAAATTACAGGACAAGTTATGCAAGACTCACGTTTCGGATTTACGAGGAAATAGTTCTTTCAGGAAAGGTTTTGCAGATTTGGGTAGCAGGCTCTCAGCCTTGGCTAGGCCTTCTGGGGTGAACTCACCTGAATCAACCAATTAATTTCACTTGAAGTACCTATTTTAACAAGCCATTCAATTTCACCGAAACATTATTAGAACAGTTAAAACAAAACATTCAGACATCAGTTCCACATACCAGTGTCAATACCGTAGCAAAATCCCATCTTCTTCAAAATACCAATCTCATCATGGATCTCAAAAAACTCGTTAAATCTGAACTCGTATTCGGTCCTGTGATAGTTATCACATTTTAGAGGATTCTTAGTGACAAAAACGTGTAGGTCGTATATGTACATAGCATTACTGACTGTGTAAAACATATATGTTGTATTTCACTCATAAACTGAATACTTTTAAGTTACAAAATGGAGAAATGGGGCTATTGTGGTTTATGCTAAGGTTATTTAACCAATTTTAGTAATTCGGTGCAGAATATCAGAATACGTAACTGATCAACAGTTAACAGTATAAGAAAGAGAATATAATTCCTCCTCTTAATTATCATATTATTAAATATACAACATGATGAACGGAGCAGCTTGTCCCGAAGCAAGTTCAGGCAAGTTCAAGCAAGTTTCATGACATTAATTTACTCCAAGTTATCTTGAATTACACCCTCACCTATCATCTGCTACCTCCAGTCCTATTTGTGTGTCAGGCCCAGTGCTCAGTACTAGAAAGGGTACCTGCAGGAGATATCACATGTCACATGTCACGTGATTTGAGATATCACATGTCACATGATTTGAGATATCACGTGTGATTTCAATAGTTGAGCTCTTGCCAAAAATTACCGCGCACCAAAAATAGCTGAGCTTTATATAGAAAACAGGTCAGAATAATGTGTACAATTACTAACAATGACTAAATGTACATAATGTGTAAGTGTAGTGGCGACGTTGTTGTAGTGGTAAGTGGTAACTGGTCAGATATAGTCGAATATAGATCTTACATTGAATTTCAATAGAGCTAATTAGAGTACATAGAGATATGTAAGGGGACAAACACTTTTTAATAAAGCAACTAATATTAAAATTAATTAACATGAATAGCTAAACCAGACAAAATATGCATTGTGCCCATATTCGGGTTTAATTAGTCTTATCTACATAATTATTGGTTAATCATTATAATCCACGAATAACTATTTAATTAATATTTGGGGGGGGGGGGGGGGGGGGGGGGGGGGGCAACCATATTAAAGTATATTAAAATGTAGGATTTTTCCCGATTTTGACCCGGGGATATACTTTAATATACTTTAATATACTTTAATATATCCCTATCTCCTTGAAGGCCTACATCAAAAATTGTTGCCCAAAATAAGCTTGAAATGCAATTCTTAATCGATTCCAAAAAGTTCTTGAAAAAATATTGAAAACTGATGGAGTTATTTCAATTTTAATGAAGTCATTTTGGCTAGTATTCCGAACCGAGATATTATGAGCAATTTTCCCAATTTTGTTCATGGAGGTCTTTTTACTTAGTATCCACTATATTCAACAAACACTGAGTTATATCTTTCACATAGAGTTAGTCTCATTAAAAAATATTGAAATTTTATCGAATTTGGGCAAAAGCGAATTTGGGCAAAAGCGTATGCCCAAATATGGGCATATTTTTGTAAGCTCATAGCTCAGCCAATTTTTGACCAATCTGGATGGAAATTCAGGTACTAGTCCTAAAACAGGCTTATCTTGCGAATCTGATTGAAAAATATAGTTCATCGTGTAAATCTTAACGAAGAATATAAATCTTCTAATTGTAGGTATATTAAAGTATATTAAAATGTAGGATTTTTTCCGATTTTGACCCGGGGATATACTTTAATATGGTTGCCCCCCCCCCCCATATTTTAAATTATTAACCTGAATAGTTGCGTTTTCAGGGAGAGGCCCAGTTTTCTCCTCCATTTCTCTGTTCCTCTGAATTAAAGTTCTGTAAGCTATTAGCTGCAACATAAACTCCTGGGCTTTCTTTTTCTTCTCTTTTATCCTCTGCTGTATCTCTTGTTTGTATTTCTGGAAAATAAGTTACAAGTGAAATAAGAAAATGTTACAAGTGAAATGAGGAAATGTTACAAGTGAAATGAGGAAATGTTACAAGTGAAATAAGGAAATGTTACAAGTGAAATGTTACAAGTGAAATAAGGAAATGTTACAAGTGAAATGAGGAAATGTTACAAGTGAAATAAGGAAATGTTACAAGTGAAATGAGAAAATGTTACAAGTGAAATAAGGAAATGTTACAAGTGAAATGAGGAAATGTTACAAGTGAAATAAGGAAATGTTACAAGTGAAATAAGGAAATGTTACAAGTGAAATTATAAGAAAAGTTAAAAGTTAAACAAGGGTGCTTGAGTTGGTTGGCTGACGCAAATGAATACACAAAAATAAAGGACACAACATATCAGCGCAGACTGCAATGAAGCCTTCCTTCTTTAAATTAAGTTATTTATAAATCTATTGTTATTTTGTAATGTTTGCAATGTTATGTGTATGTACCAAACAGCGTTCAACGGGGTTTTCCAATTACCATTCAACTACTGACAGTCATTTAAATTTTAGATAAAAAGTATCAACTCACAATTAGTTATCCAGAACAAGTACGTAATCAACAATTTTAACTAAAAATTAAGCCAACTTCTAATTGCTTTTAATTTCTTATAATCATTAATCACATCTAATTACATATAATTAACTTCTAATCACCTCTAATTGCCGACACTCCTGTAACGAGTTAGTAGGGAGTCCTATCCAGCGTATCTCTTTCTTATCTTTACTGATAATGTTCATAGCACACAGAACGTTAAGCGCATCATACACCCGCCTTCTGATGTTCTTCACGTCAAACGACTGGAAATAATATGACGTCATGTCACGTGGTATGACGTCATGTCACGTGGTATGTGACGTCATGTCACGTGGTATGTGACGTGATGTTAATATAACAATTAAATATGTTATGTTTTACGGAAAATCGACTTCATTAAAAGTAAAAATGAATTGTTAAAGATTATTTATTGACAGTCAAAAAATACGCTGTAAAATTAAATAAAAAATCACACAAGTTTCCACTAACGTTGGCGCTGCTGGGGGTTGAATTTACAATACTGTGATGTGAGAATTCCTCGACCAACTCTTCTGAAACTTCCAGATATGTTGTGACTCCTTTAGACTTCACCTTCTCACACACCTGAAAAAAAAACACGTTATAGTTGTGTGTTGTCATGTCATGTGGTGTGACGTCATGTCATGTTGTGTGACGTCATGTCATGTGGTGTGACGTCATGTCATGTGGTGACGTCATGTCATGTGGTGTGACGTCATGTCATGTCGTTCACAGTGCTAGAAAAGTCTTTCACTCGCTGGTAAAGAAATTTTAAATCTTATTTATTTATCACAATTGTCACAATTTCGCACTCAAATTTAGAGGGGGTTCTTGAAACATATAAATGATACGAAATGTTTTATTAGCAGGAGCTTACAAAATACATACTTTGTGTAAATCGTCTTCGGCAAATATCTCGTCTTCCACAAATATTTTGTATTACGATTCCTTTTCCAATTAAAAAAAGGGGCGTATATGCTCTAATAGTAGGCTTGCTGTTACTATGGAGGAATGGAAGAACAACGCTAAAAGCAAGAAATTATCTCATCTCGCTAGAAAAGGGTCGGGCCTCACCTAGATTATAGAAAAGTGTCTCATCTTGCTAGAAAACTAGAAAAGTCTCGCTTTGCTACAAGAATATTTCACCTTGCTAGAAAACTAGAAAAGTCTCGCTCTGCTAGAAGAATGTCTTACCTTGCTAGAAAAGTGTCTCAACCCTTTTCCGCCCCTCTCCGAGCTCCGTCTAGGTCTCTTTCTATCAGTAGTGGTGGTTGGGGTAGGTTTAGCGTCGAATTGTACAGGAGATACTCTTTTACGAGAACCTAAAACACGTGTCACATGATCATTAAAACGTTAACTGGTGAGGAGAAACAAAAGTTAGTGTTTATTATAGGCTCTTTAATTAAACAAATGCAATTCAATTAATAACTAATATGATATAATAAATTAATGTCTAATACCTTGAGATCCATCCAAGAAAATTAACAAGAAAGTTAACAAATTCTTCACTGAGTTACCTGAAGCAGTACCATTGCTCATGGAAGAGATACCGTTGATAACAGAGTTGTTACTCCACCGGGCAGGAGTTGTGGAGGGGGCCTGTCTGGAGGGAGTGTTATTCTGGATCTGAGGAGTAGAGGGAGTCTGTCCACTTTTATACTGAGCAGATGGGGTCTGTCCGCTCTTGTATTGAGTTGAAGTGGTCGGTTCCCTTTTAAATTGAGTTGAGGGGGTTTGGCCACCTTTATATTGAGGAACGGATCTTTGCTGTTTGTTGTATTCGGAAGCGTCTTGGTGGTCTGAGGAGGATCCTGCAGAGAATATTGCTGTAATTACTACCTGATGTAGATGGGGAAAGGAGAACTGAAGAAGGGTAGATTACGGGAATAATCAGAGAAATGAGGCCAGGTGGGTGATGGAAAATGGGAAGAGGGGTGGCGAGGGGAGGGTGGGAGAGGGGTGATGGAGGGAGAGGAGGGGTGATGGTGAGAGAGGGAGGGGTCTGATAGCGTGCACATCCTTTTACCTGGAGCACTGTGCATCTGCTGAGGAGTGTAGCCAGACCTAGGACCCGGAGCTGGTGGAGGTTGTATCATCTCCTGATTATAATGTTGGGCGGGCTGTGCGGCTGGCTGCATGTGGCGCACACTGGACTGCGTGGAATTGGGGTGGGTGGGTCGCATAGTGGGCGGACGAGCTGGCTGCATAGTTGCATGTCCACCATGCTGTTTGGAGGATTTAGAGGCGGAAACTTGACGGGACATGGTAGGCCTGAGATAGAAGGAACAGTTGGAATAATGTTCACGACAATGTGATGGCAATTAAGACGAACAAAATAACGATAGTTTGATCCTAGATAAAACAATTATGGTCATATGATTAATAACGTGATGATTTTGTTGCATATAAGGTAAATAAGGAACCTTTGTTGAGTGTGATTCATCTGACCCCTTCCTTTCGGCACTATTCTCTGTCCAGATGCGGCTCCAGGGGACGTGCTCTGCCTCACTTGATGTTGCTGAATTCGCACATTCCCAGCTGGCGCTGGATGTGGTGATGAGTTTGATGAGACAATACGCGCACCGGACGGTAATTGTACTGTTGATGGGAGACCACCCCCTTGTTTGTTGTCTATCAGAATGGCGCGGATCTGCTGTCCATTTCCCTGCAGCCATTGACTTCCCTGTGGAATGTGGATGTAACATTTTATGAATTTCCTCTTAATACCAAGATTCTAGGAAATGATTGAACTGTAACAATATACTAATATATAAGCAGAAAGTGCATAATAATAAAGACAACATTGTTCATATTAATGTGATAAATAATTTGACTTTTAATCAATTCCCTATCTCTCATTATTGACCAAAGAAAAGCCAACTCACTTGAGGATTTCCATTCGCATTAATGACAAATTTTCCATCTTTAGTATGGGACACACTGAGATGTGTCTGTTCAACCATGCTTCCATCTGCAAAAATATCATCATTATTAATTTTAGTGTGCTGTACCACTGTAAATCCCATTTACTCTTCGTAACTTATATTAACAATAAGTACAAATTACATCTGTAGCATTAATAAAACAAAAGTTGTTAGTTTTGTTTTATATATTACATTTGCTAAATTGTTTTTTTTTAAACAAAATTTAAAAAAATTTGTTTTCCTAAAAACTTGTTTTACTAAAGCCTAGAAATAACTATGTGGTACTAGTAGACATTTTACTATCTATTGTTAAGACAAACCTGGTCTTTTCAAGCATACTTTCATAGGACCTTTATGATTTGGAAACATCTGTTGAGGTATCTGATCTTTAGAACACTGAGCTATCTCCTCTCCGTGGAGCGGCACACCAACCTGCTACAATGAAAACTTAATTTTGCACATAATACTCGGATAAATATGTATAATAAGTTTTGATTAGTTGAATAATTGTCCTGACATTTCTGTTTAATCGAAATTCTGATAACATTATCATCTGCTGTTGAACACTATTGATACAAATTAAATAAAAACCTGGTAATGTGAGTATTGAGGTGGAACATTGGGGTTCATTTCTCTGCCTTCCTTCAATCACAAGCCATATACAATGAGCACTGAGATAAATTGAGCTATTACTTATTACTATATTAGTTTTCATGACTAAAAAGCCTGGCAGACAACTCCATTATGATATATTTGTTTAAATTCTGTACACTTAGTCATGTCAAATGTACAAACTTAACGGAATTAAAAAGATACTTCATGTAATGAAAGGAAGACCAGCCACAAACACAGTTTAAATTCAACCAGGGACTGGAATGGCGGGAAATACTGGCTGCTGCCTTATCTTATGTGATGTCAAAGTATTATGTAACTGGATCAGTAGTTTGGTGGAATGTGGTACAGTTTGTGTCTTAAAGTAAAGTAAAGTAAAGTGTCTTGCCAAGTAATATTCTAGAGTAGATATTGTGTGGTATACCGAAAATGTTGTAAGCATTGTGGTCTTATGTGAGATGACTAATTGTACACCGAACCCATCTACCAACAGATGCCTCTGATTAGGGTAACACCTGCATGGCAATAGGTCTCTCTGAGCCCACCGCTTTGAGCGGTAAGTTTGTGCAACTTTTAAAAGCAAGAGTCTACTTTAGTATACTTGCTGTGAGGTTTCTCAGTTAGATGGGTCCCCCTGTATTTTTACAATAGGACTCTCCCTATCTATCTCAGAATGTCTTGGATGTATACAAGGTCATGTTGACAGTTCAGCTTGTTAACAGAATTGTGCAGACAGACTCCAGGAGTGTACAGTCCCTTCATCTATGTTCAATAGAGGTTGAGGTTGTAATTTTCAATTCAACCAAATCAATAAGTGATCAATAGGTGACTAACAGTTTCAAATTGAAATTTAAGCTCATTTCAGTGATTTCTGTCAAAATGGAGCTTACAAAAGTCGAATTCATGATATTTAAATTGAATTTGGGTGTGGCACTTTCCAGTATGTTATTAAATCCGTCTGTATTAAAACTGTTTTGGTCACGTGACAAGCCAGTTAAACGCAACTTGGACTGATAAGCGATACAATTAGGGTTATTTTAAGAGTTATGCTAAGGGTCAGGGTTCAGGTACAACCGTTTGTACCTTAGGTTATAATGTATGAACCAACCTGAACTAACTGTTTGAGGCATTTGCCACTCTTTCCATTTTGCTAGTTGTTGATAGAAGTATTAGTGTACATAGACCGTGCAAGATACAACTTTGATGATATAATCACGGGCACAGAAGAAGCATTATTAGCAATTGTGTCCTTTGCCCTCCTACACAATTTGAACATTTTCGTGGCTAACTCATTGAAAAACATCTGAGGGGGGGGGGGGGGTGTCATGTCCGTCTATGTCCGCCTATGTCCTGTCCTTTTTGGATTCTATGAGACAACGGACGTGTTTTTTGGGACATTAGCGGACACGGACGGACATAGGCGGACTCGGACGGACATTGGCGGACTTGGACGGACATTGGCGAACTCGGACGGACATTGGCGGACCCGGACGGACATTGGCGGACTTGGATGGACATTGGTGGACATTAGCGGACATTTGTGGACATTAGCGGACAAACATTTTGAGGACTGAACAGTACTGAAGAGTACTGAAGAGTACTGAGGAGGATGGCTGAGAAGGATGGCTGAGGAGGATGGCTGAGGAGGATGACTGAGGAGGATGACTGAGGAGGATGACTGAGAGGGAGGAGGAGGAGGAGGAGGAGGACCCAGAAGGAGGACCTAGGAGGAGGAGGACCCAGAAGGAGGACCTAGGAGGAGGAGGAGGAGAACTGAGGAGGATGACTGAGGAGGAGGAGGACTCAGGAGGAGGACTGAGGAGGACTGAGAAGGAGGAGGACTGAGGAGGATGGCTGAGGAGGATGGCTGAGGAGGATGACTGAGATGGAGGAGGAGGAGGAAGAGGAGGAAGAGGACTGAGTAGGAGGAGGAGAAGGATGACCCAGGAGGAGGACCAAGGAGGAGAAGGACCCAGGAGGAGGACCCAGGAAAAGGCCCCAGGAGGAGGAGGACTGGGGAGGAGGAGAACTGTTGAGGACTGATGAGGAGGACTGAGGACGAGGAGGAAGACTGAGGAGGACTGAGGAGTACTGAGGAGGATGGCTGAGGAGGATGGCTGGGGAGGATGGCTGAGGAGGATGACTGAGGAGGATGACTGAGAGGGAGGAGGGAGGAGGAGGAGGACTCAGGAGGAGGACTCAGAAGGAAGAGGAGGAGGACTCAGGAGGAGGACTGAGGAGAACTGAGGAGGAGGAGGAGGAGAACTGAATAGGAGGAGGAGAAGGAGGGGGACTGGGAGAGGACTGGGGAGGAGGAGGACTGAGGACTGAGGAGGAAGAGGAGGAGGATGAAGAGGAGGAGGAGGACCCAGGAGGAGGACCCAGGAGGAGGACTCAGGAGGAGGAGGACTGGGGAGGAGGACTGTTGAGGACTGATGAGGAGGACTGAGGACGAGGAGGAGGAGTAGGAGGAGGACTGAGGAGGGGAGGAGGAAGAGGACTGAGGAAGATCAGGAAGACCCAGGGGGAGGAGGAGGAAGAGTAGGAGGAGGAAGCATCTAAAAGTTATTTCCATTTTTGTCCGTTTTTGTCCATTTTTGTCCGTTTTTGTCCGCTCTATTTTTTGTCCGTTTTGAAAATATAGAGGTACAGAACGGACAAAAACATGATCCCCCTATAACAGCAAAAATTGAACATTTTATTTAGCAATTTAGGTGTCCATTAATGTCCGCCTATGTCCGCCTATGTCCGCCTATGTCCGTCTATGTCCGCCTATGTCCGCCTATGTCCGCCTATGTCCTGTCCTTTTTGGATTCTATGAGACAAGCGGACATAGACGGACGTGACACCCCCCCCCCCCCATCTGACTTAGTATGCATTTAGTATTAAACAATTCAGTGAGTTATCTTTTCATGTACGCGTACGCTGTACATTGTAGTTAGTAAATGCAAACCAAACTTTTTCGATCAGCCGCGCGCTAAGCCAATGTTGCAAGGTATAAATTGTGTATATTTTGTACATTTGTCAGTGTAAATTAATTTATTAATTAATCACTTGAACGACGTATTACAAATTATTTTATTATAATAAAACCACTTCTGTGAAATGGTTATTTTGACTTTAAATAATTGAACTAAATATGAATTTATTGTGGGTATAAAATAAAATTTGTTTTACTAATAGTATAGGGTCATTATAGTATAGGGTCATTGCCTTGAAATTTGTCTTCATTTGTTACTTTTTGGGGGTGTCCAACCTTATTATAGCAGGAAATGACCATTGCTAACATTGTATCATTGTATGTATATTGTTTGGATACTTTACAAATAAAAATTTCTAAATGGATTGTCGCTTCTTTCACAGGAAGTAAATGTTAAGTTTTTTAAAAATGTATTCCGTGTTCCACTTGCACTCCAATAAACCTTTTATTTATTTATTGAGTGCATCTTGCTCCCAATATCACTGAACCAGAATTGTGGGTTTTAGAGTAGAAAGGAAACCATTCTCATTGCTCAATTTCCATTTAAAGGTTTTGTATCAAAATTTACCAAAGCCTTGTCATACGTTGTATTGCTCAGGATTTACGATTGTGCTCTGCCAATTAAATTGCATCACTTGATTTAATTTATTGTATATATACTGTTTGACCCGCCGCGCACGAGTGTGTGGCCCCTGTATCGTACAGTAAAACGACAATGAGGGTCACGACGTGATACAACCAGAGTCTGGAGCTAAATAGCACAAAAACTTAAGCTTTTTGACTTTTGAATACCCCAATGTGCTGAAATTAAAGTCATGAGTAAACTTTTAAAGTTGCAGCATGATTCAAATTCAATGATCTCTGAGAATGATTCAAACAATACATTGCAGCATGGACTTTAAGTGATTAATAACAAATACCGTGCCAAGCGCGCTTTTCCCTATTCCATATGCGCGGCGCTCTTTTCGAGCTTTTTAAATTTCTCCCTAAGCTATATAGTAATTTAGTAGGATGATAATTAATCACTCTACACTCGACTGTCACGTGACTTTTTCAACCCGTTCTCTAGCTGGTCCTGAACGACTATTCGAAACCCTAACCCTCTTATTTGATCCCAACCCTAACCCTAACCCAATCCTTAACAAAAGCATAAGCTGAAACCCTAACCCTAACGAGAAATTAGAATAACTTCCTTATACGGCCATATCACGTGATCGCGATACAGTTTTTCGCCTATATCTCGTCAGGGGAGCATTTTAACCCTATATCATGGGGGGTGATTCGGAATCAGCGTCCGAAAATACATCGATTGAAGTTGGTTTCAACTGTCGGGGGCCCTTTTAGAACAATCTCGAAGATCGACTGTAGAGTGATTTAGTACGCTCGAATTTAGTAGGAAAGAAAAAAAAAAAAGGGTGATACTCGTAAAATATTTGTTCCAAATATATAGGACCGTCGACGAGTCCAACTCGGCGCGCGTCTTGGTAGGTTATAAACCTACAACACTAAACTAAATAGAGGTTGGAGGACTTCGCCGCTTCGCCGCGCCGCGCGAACTAGCATTCTTGCTTCCCATCGTCGATTGTTGCTTTGCTTCGCAAAGTAACGATCTCGATGGGTTGACATCGTCAATCAAAATAGAGGTAGAAACCATTTAATATATGTAAATATAATAAATGTAAGTATAGTGACCACGGACTTGGAAACTATTCATTCGTTATCTAAAACGGGCCTACGTCACTATCAATAAATGCCAGCGGTTCCAAAACATTTCTTTGTCTCAAGGAGGGGAAAAAGTCTGTTACGAGGAAAAACAATAGATCTAAATTTGATAAAGTGTCAAAATACTCGTAAGGAACAACTTTTTTTTGTTAAGGTGTATTGTAAGCTTTTAAAAATGCATTGTATTGTGATACTTAAATAATCTTATTCAAACAATATACACATAATATAACAATTACCCTATATAAAAATTCAATATAAATTCAATAGAAAACTAAATAAAATTGATAAACACCCTTTAAGTAGTATTATATATAATTAAACCAGGTTAAAGAACTGGCTCCAAATTTATATCTAATTCTGCTATTTTTACTGCACTATTACTTTTTAACCCT